CCCGAAACTTCTATTTACTTTTATTTTGGGACATGAGACGGTGCGCGACGTGTCCGTTTTGGGCGTTTTGAATTTTCTCGAAAGTAGAAACAAGACAGGATAATTACGGCTATCGAAAAAATTGTATAAAAAATATATGTGATCGTAAAAAGATCTATAAATAATGACTATCGACTTGTAAAATTTGGTAAACCTATGAGAATGTTCAATTCGTAATCTTGTTGCATCTTTTTACGATCACGTATTTTTCATACATATTCATATATGCATATCAAAAAAATTTACTCCTAGAACGATTTGTCTTACTTTATTTAAATCAAAATTGAAAGTTGCGATCCTAAATTAGGTTAGGTTACAGCTGCATTATCCTCTTGAGCAACATGAGACGCGCCGCGATGTGACGCTCCCCCTACTCAATGTAAAATGCCGCGCGGCGCGCGGAGCTGCTTGCGTGCCGTTTATATACTCCCGTGCCCCAGCGGCGCTTCGCGCTTATTGGTTGGAGCGCGAGTGGTGAGGCACGGGAGTATATAAACGGCACGCAGGCCGCTCGCGCGTGGCATTTCACGTTGAGTAGGGGGAGCGTCACGTCGTGTCGCGTTTTTGTGTCGCTACTGTCGCTAGCGCGCGGTATTTCACGTTCAGCGGGGGGAGCGTTACGTTCTCGTGTTGCGTAAAAGGATAATGCAGATGTAATCTAACCTAATTTCGGATCGCAACTTTCAAATTTTGATTTATATAGGGTAAGACAAATTGTTCCAAGAGTCAATTTTTTTTTTATGCTCTATGACTAATTTATATTATCTCGAAATTGATTAAAATATTTAAATTACGTATGATCTAAATAACTGATAATAGCAAGAAGTTACAATTTGTTATGAAATAAATACATTGAACATTTTAATAATTGCTTTATATTATTGAATAACATTATGTATTATTATTTATTATAAGATTAAACGCGCAAATAATGTAAATTTCGCACAGCGTTAAAAAGTTCGGAAATACAACAAATTAACGAGAAACAATTAAAAACGGAGGATGAGATAATTAAAATACGAGTTTTTTTATGTTAATTTATATTCCTTTATATAAAAAGGAAAAAAGAAGCAGAAGCTCTCGTCAGCTCGTGTTCATTTATTCTTCATTTTATGATTAAATTAGGTTAATTTGATTTTACTTTGTGGAGCTTAATAGGATGCATGCTTTTGGTAAATGTATTCATTGTTATTATGTAACATAAAAGAGCTTATTTAAATTATGAGAGCATATTCGAGAAATAAAAATATCTAGCAAGAGAGAGAGAGAGAGAGAGCTCTGCTCCTATTCCCTTTTTATATAAAGGATTATAAATTAACATAAAAAAAGCTCCTATTTTAATTATCTCACCCTCCGCTTTTAATTATTTCTCGTTAATTTGTTGCATTTCCGAACTTTTTAATGCTGTGCGAAATTTACATTATTTGCGCGTCTAATCTTGTAATAATAATAATAGATACATAATGCTATTCAACTCGTTATCTCTTCAAAACAACGTCTATAATTTATATAGTGTGGGCAACGCAGTTTGCATCACAATAGCACCCGCGGCGCGCGCCAGTTTCGAAACATTTAATTATTAGCTGTATAAACTTTGTAACACGTTTATGCCGTTTACGTCTGTCCCCGGTAAAGCCGTATTAACTGCGGTAAACCTGGTTCGCACCTCTTCAATAGATTCCATTTACGTATGACAGAGCGAAATGTCAAAAGTGATGCAATCGGGTAGTATCGCGAACCGAAAACGAGGATTGTTTTATCGAAACGTAATTAAACGATACTGATACGAAAATGTAGAAAAACGTAAAATTATTCGAAGACGTTAAAAATGAAACTGAAACAATACGAGATAAATTGCGAGAAATATAAAATGAGGGAGAAAATAAAAAAGAATAAAGTTTTTTGTTTTATAAATTATACGTATCGCTTTTCGCGAATGAATTTTTTTTCCAGTTTATTTCGTTTAAGAACGAAAACCAAGTTTGTTTTATTAAAATTTTAAATTAAAATGTAAATTAAATGACTTTTATGGGAGAGGAAGTAGAAAAACGTAAAATAACTTGGAAGCATTAAAATAAAAGACGAAGTATTCAAATTGAAACATAAAATAAGAGAAAAAAATAAAATAATTTTTTTATCTTATAGGATTACACGTATTACACTTTCCGCATATGAATTTCCTCCCCAATGCATTCCTGTTCATCCGTCCTTTGCAGCGAGATGTCTCGGACTGAATTTGCACGCATGACCAGTCACAATTGTTCGCTGTCTCGTTATAGATCGCGACGATGGACAGGAACGATCGCCGCGGAAACCACTACGCGGTGAGTATATAGTTGCATTGTCCCATTGGGGTTACACCCGATATCGCCGCCGTGACCGCATTTGTGTTCGGAGACCGTAAGACTATCGGACACGTACAGAGTGCTTCAAGCTCCACGGTTATCTCCGTTAAATTACCGTTAATCTGAAATCAATGCTTGTCGGAATACTCACCGCCCTTATAAAGCGAGCATCGCTATTTTGACCGTTTTGACAACAATTAACTGTTTTAGTCTAACAATTAAAACAATTAAATTTATTTTCGAACTGGAAAAGACGTTTGTGAAATTAAAATCCGGAGCCTTGAAACATTTTCTACGAAATGGTAGTACGGTCTGTACTGAAAGTACTAGCAATTGCGGTGAGCAAAATGAGTTTTGCGCGTAAGATTAAGCGCATACCTTGCGATACGTGCTTGTCGCGCTATGTAAAGAGATACGTTCTACTTTTTTGAAAGAAACTCTGTAACGTCTATAAAAAAAAACTTATCTTACCCAAGAAAGACGTTATTATTTGAGGAATAATTTAATGAGAGATAGACAATTTAAAAATTCTGGAATTATATTATAAAACAGTTTCTTTATGTAAGAAGAAAGAAAGGAAAAATTATTATCCAATGCTTTCTAATTATATAATACCTATAAATAACTAAATTCCGCCTTTTATTTTCTGAAAGGCTCTCGTTTAAAGAAGTAATGATACGAAAAACATCTTACGTAATTATTATCATGAATATTATTTTTAACGAATATTATTATGAATACAGATATTTTAGTCAATCCATTTTAATGCATTCATTTTCAGTTGAGAAATAGGGAGATGGATATATAAATTAACGAAAAACAGATATATAAATAACGAAATTAATTGGTCATATCTTTATTTTGCGTATCCGCAGTGAGACGTTTTAATTATTTGTTGTAAACTGCATATTCTATCGTGTTTAAAAATCGTGCGGCTTGCAAGACGAGCGGTGATATTATTCTCGGAGCGCGTGAAGCCAACAAATAACCGAAAACTTACGTAACGCCGAAACGAGAGGGAGAAAGAGAAGTTTACAGGCACTCGGGAAAAGTAAATGCCTAATGATTGTACGCGGAGATTCTTTACGATCGAGCGCAGTTACGCTAAAGTTGAAATTTAAATCGTAGCGGAAGCTTACCGTAAAACCCGTGAGAATTTCGCGGAGCGTGCATTCGCGTTTCCAACGCGATAAGACAGTTAAGACTTGACGTATTGAGGGTCAATAGTATTCTCTCGTGACGGTAACTTTCATAACAAGCTTACGAGAGAAAGAATGACATTTTCCCTACGTTGCGGATGTCAGAAGCCTCTTTCTAAAGTATTGAATTTGCGAAGCGAACAGGATAGAAATTTTTCAAAGATATTAAAGACGACAGTTTGTTGTTCCGCCGCTTACTTTTCCTTACAAATAGAATATAGCATTTGTCTCGTTAGAAAAGTTATAAGAAAAATTAATCATTCAATTTTCTGAAAACGATTACAATAATTAGAAAGGTGTAGACCTAAACAAATATTGTAGTTTAATTAATTATCTTCTAGAATTTTGAATGTTCATGTTTATCTTTACAACGAAATTAATTATTAATAAGTAGAAACTTCTTTTTTTTTAATAAATAATTTATTATATATAACAAAGAAAATTAGTTCTTTTTATAAAAGAGAATCCAGAATGAAGAGAAAATTCTTTAGAAACAGGAAAAGATAATAATTGAATTAACTTTCTGAATTTTTAATATAATATTAAATATCAAAAAATTATTAAATTATTAATTTATGTTTATAATAAAGGAATAATTATAGATAGATGTGTAAGCGAGAGATAGATATAGAGATAGATAGAAAGATATCGAAGAATTGTCGAGTCATTTTCCCAAGTCAAGGTAAATAGGATTGAAATTAGCGAGATTGGTAGGAGCTAAAAGCTAAAAAAGAAAGAGACAGTTGTGACGTGAATCACGCTAGACTTTCTTGAAAGAAAGCCTTGGCGCTGATCCCAAACGATTAAGCCGAGTTTGTTCGACTTCCGTGAATAGGCTTTAACGATTGCTAGACACGCCACGAAAATATACTTAGCGTTGGTGATTTCTGCGTGATTACTGGCGATCAAACATCGACAATAATGGTGTTTTGATATACAAGTCTGGAAATTTACTCGATCATTTCGTAAATTGGCTTAATTTCCGCTGATTAATTTTATCCCGGGGCTTCTACCTGCCAATCTACCTGCAATGTTTTGATCATGTTGTGGATAATCTGTGTTTATTGACTGTATAGTCGGCTGTATAATTGTCGGCTTACCTCTCCAAGAAGATATGAGATACTAATTTCAACTAATCACGTTTAAAATAAAGGAACATATCAAGAAATTCTGCAACATAATTTTCAAGTTTATATAATAAGGCTTAAATTACAAATAGAAGAAAAAGTTTCTTTTAACATTTTTCTGTTGTTAATAATCTTATTTGGATATTCTATCAAATATGTAGCTCCAATCGTTGAAAAGTTTCTATCTGTTTCTGAATTTTATGTTTGTACATTTTTAGTTTCTGCAATAGAAATAATTTTTTTGTGAATCAATTTACGAACGATAAATTTATTTTGTTTATATTGCACGTGTTTTTGTACTGAGCTTTTCTCTCGTACGACCTGTTGATTCGGAAACATTGAAACGGATAAATATCGGCTTTACACGAGATCGCTGAATAATCCGTTTTGATGAATGGACGATAATTGTTACTCTCTGAATAATGTATTATTAAAATTCATAAATTCTCATAAAAATCTGATAAAAGTGTCAGAATGTTATTTAAAAAATAAAAAAAGAATACTTTTAGTATCTGGCAATTTATTTTTGCAAATTAGTATCTGATATCAGGTTAAAAATGTTAATATGAGATAGTAATGAAAAAAAAAAAGAAATTATCTTTAAATTGGATAGAAGGCTAAAGCTTATATAAGCTTAAGATACAGATATACGTGCAATAAAAACTTTTTTCACTTTTTTCTTCCTTCATCTGTATGCAATTTAATTTTTCGTGCACGCAATAAACTTCTAATGACCTCGATATCGAGTTTCGACTTTTACCAAGATCCTCATTAATTGCTGGCGCAGAGTGAAAAAACTTTTTTGTTCAAAGCTTCTACTATTAATTCAAACTTACCATACCCTTTTAGGATATTTTATATTTTTCTCTGCACTCGTGATTTATTTATCTGTTTACGTTTCCCGTTTCAACTCGTTCAAGCGTTTTTTGCGAATATCAGCCGTTAACGGAACCGTTAAACACCAATGAGGTCTTAATTGGAGAAGACACGTGGTGATCGATGGCACGCCGACCTTTCCGACAGTTGGCGATTGGTCGGCGGCGGCATGGAAGTTATTTGGAACTTCGTAAATTAACGAGCAACGAAGTTGGTTGTCGCGCGCAGCACTCTTCGAAGTCCCGATTCCCGGAAGTAATGATCGCGCAATTAAATCTTTTGGGACAGATGCGACACGACCGGTTTAATCTGATTAGCGACGAGAGCTGTTAGAGCTTCGAGGGCGCTCTTACATTCGCATCTCATTTTATTCCACTGTTAGATTGGGTTACGGGGATTTCGGTACGAACACGACACGGAATGGAAACGCGATACTTAATTGCAATTGCAGTTTGGTTAGATTAGAGCCGCCGGAAAATACCATCAATATTCCTTTAGGTAGTTATAATGATATAACGTTATTTTTATCGGCATATACTTAATGTCGCATAAGAACGACGAGCAGGACATTTTTTTCCTTGCTATTTTTATCTCGCGGTCAGTACACACGTAATTTTCTCTCTTAGGAGGGCGTAATTATGATAACATAATGAACGTAAAGTAACGATTTTTATCTCGAGATTTTATGAATGGATTTTCCGCGGTTTTGTCCACCGAGGGAGATGCTCAGGAAAAGTATATAATTAAACTTGCTTTAATTAAAACAGGCGGAAATAATGCGGGAAACAGCGAGCGCAAGATGCTCCCTTGAGGAAATTCCTCGACTCTTAACGCACACCCGTTCCACCTCGAGCGTAAAATTTAATACCTCGCTGAGATAACGTTACCAATTTTTCTACGGGATTCTCTTTTCGGGGAGTTAATATAAAACAACACCGGACAGGTTCATTACAGCATAATTATTCGACATTAAGGAATGTCATAATTATACATGTAAAGATCTAACGTAAATATAAACACCATTTGGAACATTTGTTTGAAAATTCATAGCAGAATATTGAACCGATTGTGTGCGAGATGAGATTATTTAATACTATGGCCGTCGAATTAGGCATTTCGACAAAAGAGCTTTATAGGAGTAATGCCATTACGTTTGCGTAATAACTGTCGCATAATAACAGTTCTACTAATACGATTTCCGTGTAATGTTATTTCTAAGTAACAATACAAATTGCACAAGTGCAGCCCACCTCTTTCAACTACCTTGAGGTTCCGTTATGGTACACTTACCTTGGAATTGTTTGACTCGTGTTTCTAACAATTTCGTGAATTTAGCAATTTAGAGAAGTTAGTATTGAGACGAATATTGTTTTAACACAACTTGACACATAACCAGAAACGTTAAATTAACCTGAGGATAAATAGAATCCATACAATTTTTATTAAAAAATAATTTACTAGGTGTACGGTTTTTAATTGACATTATCGATTGATAAATTCTAATCACATTTCGTTTTGTGAAACTTCAATTTTGCCATTATTTACTACCGGCGCTTCGCCGCGTTACACTTTATCGAAAACGTCATTATCGAGATCTCGGCGCCTCGTTAAAATAAACGACGTTACAGCGCAGGCAACATCCGCGAATGAATGGACACAGCGCAGCGATTACTAGAAAGCGACGTTTTATTTGTCATAATGCAACTCGTTACATTCACAGTGTACAGACTGTTTGATCCGGGCATAGCCGGGCGCTCGGATACGAGGCCGACGCGGCGGAGCGCGCCGCGCCGCATCGCGTCGGTCCACGCGGGAGCCGCGGGCGGCTCATTTCGCGCCGGAATTTCCAATCGAAATCTCCCCTCTCCCCCCCGCGCGTTTGCCGTACGCGGAATAAGCAGAGAGCTAAAACACACTCCGCGGTCGGAGAGACCCATCCGGACGCGGACTCGCCAGCGTTCGTCTCGATAATCGATACATCTCAGCGACAGTTTATTTCACCCGCGGCGGAACGTTCTGAAAATGAAACTTCCCCGATTACAACGAAGCCCCGCCGGCGCGACGGCCGCGCGGATACGAACCCCGGCGAGCGGTGGTTTTGGTTTTGTTTCTTTCCCCTTTCTCTCCGTTTCTCCGCCTGCCGCCCGTCGGCCCGCTCGACCGCACTTGAATTCTTTGCGTATCGCTCATTTTGTACCTGCGGCACGAGAAGTAATTCCTTCGCCGGTATTCCCTCAAGATTAGCCGGCTATTGGATTCCGCTCGCGAGCAATCTTCTGTACGAATGCTTTATATGAAATCCCTTTTCTCGGACACGTTACTCGCCCCGCACGTATACACAAATACGCACGCACACTCGCATACGTTCGTACATAGTATACGAATATTTCGTTCTCCTCTCGAGGACAATGACGCGCGATAAACGAACTGTCCTTACGGGAAACACAACACGTGCTCCTTTCGGGACTTGCACCTTGATCGCGGAACGTCCTTGAGTTTATTCTGTAAAAGTCCTCCGTTCAGTCCGTCGATCATGGTCTCGTTTGAGCTTTTACACATACGCAAGGCGCTTATCAAACGAGCCGATGTTGGCCGAGTCCACAGAAGCGTCTGCCCGAGACGCGCGTGTCCTGTCTGTCCCGTAGGTGGAATATATCGAGGATCCGATAAGTGTCTGTCAGTTCCCCTTTCCGACGGGGACTCGAGGATTTTCGAGAGGAATTCACACGTTCCTCCGATCTTCGCTTTCCGCATCTCATTATTGACCGTTTATTTATCGGGTGTCCGAGAGCGATTCCTATTCGAATGATCTGAATGTAGATAGTTTCCCCGTCGACACACGTCGCTCGTTTTGCTTTTTCAGACATCGTCCGTTTTTTGTGCGCTCTTATAGCTTTTCCACTTGTGCATCTAATAACTGTCAAACGTTTGCGGGTAAAGCAGCAATACAGAATTTTCAAAAATCTCGCAAAGAAATTCTGTGAATGACAAAATGGAGTTACAAGGCAAGAGAATCAATAGTTTTGATGGATTGTGATAATATATTGCACTATCGCAGAGAATGCCATTAGAAATATTTAAAAAACTTAACTTAAACAAATCCTTAATTTTTTCAGAAAAATTATTTGCGCGGCAGTTTTTTCTCTTTATTCTACATAAAAATAAAATGTCTTTTATTTATATAAAAATAAAATGTTAAATGGATGTATGAATTAGATATATGAATTATAGTATAGTACTTTTTCGAGACAAGTGATAAAATATTAATATTTTTAAAAAATTATTAATATTAGAAACATCCGAAAATATATAATTTTATTAATATTTTGTTGAATTATATTTAAAAAATTTAAAGGTTATATATTAATTTATAAATCACTATTATGATTAACGTGAAATGTACCCATTATTATTATTAGTCAATTATTAAACATCTGGCGATATGTTTTCCTTCACATTGCTCTACTTCGAGTCTTCTGCATTCAGAATTTCACACACTATTGTAAGATTTATTTGTATTCATTAGATTAAATTTCGTCTTGTAACTTGATTTCCCCATTTGTATTTCCTTTATTAGCGTAAATTTACGTACAAAGTACACTTCGTATTAATTAATTCATTTAATTAATACAAGGAGGAATTTGATTAACTTCGCGAAAACTTCACTGGAGATTGTAACGTTCAGTATTGTAGTAAATCAATATAACTTACTGATATTGCCAAATTTTTTTTGATTTGACACTAACACTTCACGATTTCGCTTGTGAGATTTGCGAATGTATGTCGTTTAAATGCAACTTTCCACGAACTTCGATTTCTTGTCGCGATGTTCAGGAAGGATATTGCGACACATCTGCGTCTGGTTGCCCTTCGACGTGGGATAATGCGCAGCATCCGTTACTTCAATCTCGTCGTGCATACGGAAACGACACGGTGGTTTCTTGTCGAGATCGCAAGTGGTTCTTACGGTCCTTGCGCCGCAACGTTTCTTCCTTTTCCCGCCGAGATAAGCCGGGAATCAGATACACGTCTCGTTTGCCGCGTTCGGTGAGCCGCCGTCTCTCGTTTTTTCGTCCGACCGATATTTCGTCCTGCCGTTACTTGAATGCGCGACGAAGGAGACTCTGGCGTCTTGCGACTGCATGTCAGGACTTAGAACGTCGCACGGCATGCTCTCCGCGTCGCAGTGGCTCACATCGTCGTCCTCGTCGTCGTAACGCAGTCTTATCGGCGAACGGAGCATCGCGCTCGCGTGCGACACATTGCATCTGAAAGTAAAAAAAGAAACCGCGCTTGTCCTAATTATAATTTCGAATAGACAGGCTAGTCCAGGCTTATTTAACTTTGACAACAAGAAGCGATTGCTGAATCGAGCTTCGATACGACGAAAGTAATGAGAACTTAATAAATATTCGTATTTGGAACGAACTAGACCATATCGAAAACATTTTGAAAAATTTCAGAAAAGTTATGGAAACGGGAAGTTTCAGTTGTATTTTCTGATAAGTAAATAATCTCGATATTGATAGAATTTTGATTTGATGGAGTAAATTAATTATATATGCGTATATTTACCTGATGCTACGTTGATAGTGTACACTTCTTACGCGAACCAGCTGGGACCCCCTTCTGGATCCGCATCCGCACACCGTGCTATCTTTCATACTGCTGAGATCGTCTCTCGTGATGGTGGGGCTCGCCGGTGTGCAGTAGAGCGTTTTCTTGAAAGCGAGCCTGTACTTGGCGCTCATCACGTTGTACAGAATCGGATTCGCGGTGGTGCTGAAGTAGTACAGGCAGCCGCCGAGCGGATACAGCCAGTCGTTGATGTCGTCGAAGGCCGACACCTGATACACGTACAATAAGCGCTGAGCGTGAAAGGGCGCCCAGCAGATAAAAAATGTTACCACGACCGCACCTGTGGAATGGAAGTCATCGGTATCTTTCACGTAGTCGTATCGCTGTCGCCACTTCGTGAGTTAAAGGGAGAATGGCACGAGAGGAGCGCCCATCACGCGCGAGGTGGATTAAAAAATGATATAAAAGCTTAATATCCCGTGTAACTGTGACTCACTGCAAGCAAACTTAATGGTCGAAATTAATTAAACGGTTCACTAATAAAATCTTAAGTCCAATATTTGCTAAAAGTAGGATCCTGCTTAAATAAAATTAATGATCAAATAAGGCATTAAGATATAAGCTTAAAATTAATAGAAAAGTAAGAGCGTCTCCGAAACGTTTTGATTTGTTGAAATTATTATTCATATTTCACGAATCTGTTAAGCACTCCGTAAAAATCTATATAACATACAATTATTGATTTTTACTCTTTTCGCGATATATATGAATGAATGCAGACATGGAAATGTTAGTTCCTTGTATCGATTATGGAAATATATTCACGGTAAAAAAATATATGCTCCCCACTTCTGCAGTCCTTTGAAGTAGCGAGATATTTATGGATACATCATAAATGGAGAAAATTTTCAGGATCATCGGTAAAAAAATTTTCGTATCATCGAGCATTCCAAATTGTTTAGAATAAAAAAAGTACGTAACGGTACACAAGATTTGGAACTGTACATCGAATAAGAGAATTTATACGAAGCGGAACACAGATATTCGTGGGAAATTTACTCGTAAATGATACTTTTGCTGCATTGCGACAGACTCTTGAGACTCTCGTGCATTTATCGTAATTTATTATATCGTAGCACTTGAGTGCTTTACGAGTGATACTTTGCTACGGTACATCGGCGAAATTTGCGTCGATGCACTGCACGGCCTTATAAGTTTTAACTCGACCGCGTTTTACCTTCGTGGCCATGGGAATGGGAAAAACCGAAGCAGCTCGATGATTAATCGATGCTGCAAACGACTCCCGCGACTATCTTCGCGGAAATATTCTGCACAACGATTCTGCACGACGATTTACAAGTATGTCGACACAGAGAAACGACGTTCATTGTTGGGAACGGATGGTGCTTAGGCAATAGGAAAATTACCTCAGGAGTGATAAAACTAGGAAAAGAATTATTAGGCAATTAAGTTACGTACATTTAATTCACGTTTAATTTGAATTACTGCTTAAATGATGAATTTTATGGAATAGAGCATTTATTGCTAGTAACGAGGTGCTAATTAAGTAAAAAAAAATTACCAAAAAATTCTATTTATGTATTTTACACGCATCACTCCTGAATATGTGCGTGCGCAGAAATTCCATACGTTTTTAACATTTAAATTTATTCTCTTACGATGTGAGCCATATTTTTTCCCTGAATGTATTCAATCGAAAATCGATACGATAGAAATTTGAAAAAAAAAAATTTCTTTTTTTATACACCGCAGTACTTTCATCTCTTTGTAAAGAATTTCTTTTCAAGAATAATGTTTTTCTTACAATGAGGAATAACATAAAATTCCGCATTGTTATATAACGCCGTATCTCTGGGCGAAATAAACGAAATGAAATTAAGAAACTATTCATGTTACGCGAGCATCGCTTCTTTTAACAAACGTCGGATAAATCTTTCGCTACAGTAATTGCCCATAAACCGTAAGTTAACTTTAGATTGCAACAGCCGAGCGGAAACGCACAGGTGCTTTATGAAGAAAGAAAGAAAGAAAAAATTAATATCGGGATAAAATAAACGATTATAAAACTTTCATCAGGTATCTGATGTTGCGAGAATGGGCTAACTTCGAGTCGATGACGAAGGTTGCCAGGCTGAAAACTATCCGTTATTACGTCAGTATGTTATGGAATTTCAACATCCGCCCCGTCATGAAACACGTGCGCGCGCGCGAAAACGAAAACCATGAGGGTATCGCATGGAATTTTGACACCTCTGTAATAACTGCTCTCGAAAACGGCGCTCGCAATATGACGCTCCGCCCTTCCCCTGCATGCAATTCATCGTACGTTGAAAATATTGAAGGACGATGAAGCTGGACAAGATGTATGTTACGGAAGAAGGATTACAACGGCGTACTCTTTTTATCGATTCTTTTTGCTTGGATAAAATTTCCAGATATTTTACGCGCAGTTATGAAAGTTTTAACTTTAAGACGAAGAATCCTTTAAAGATATATATATATATATATATATATCGATTAGAAATACACATGTGGTATCTTTTGCAGCATTATTAATTTAGAAACGAGTTACATATGTATCTTCACTCCTTCGCGTCGAATCGAGTTGAGCTATACGCTTCATCAATTCTGCGATTTCTTCGTTCTCCCTAATAAACGATACCGATGGATCGGATTGGCATTGATACGAAATTCCATCGCACGTGATTTATAAAACATATGAAATAATGCCTGGCGGTCTGAGGGGTGTAAAACAAATCAGCGATTGAAATAAAACGTGGCATTGGCGCGGCGTGATGAATTCAATGGGGCGCGTTATGTTTTACGTGGGTGTGTGTACGTCTGCCTGTGGTACGAGTTGTGATGTTCCGGAAAAGACGGAAATTTACTGAGCATTCGGATGATGGCTTTTCGTGATTGAGCCTGCCTCGTTTCTCCGTGAACGGAGCCCTCGATGCTGCGTCCGAGACCGTTGCTTTGTATTCGCAGGCCCATCCTCACGTAGAGCACCGCTATAGACAGCATCGGAACGAGGAAGAATATGAGGCAACTGAGCTCGTAAAGCGGGAACTTGGGCATGTTAGGCAGCAACATGGCACACATTGCCGACTCCTCGGAATGACGGCCGGATCCTGCAAACAGATGCGAGAAACGCGGTTCTTTTCTAAATTTCTATTATTACTTCTCGTATCCCCCCCTTTCTTTCTCTCTTCCCTCCTCCTCTCTTCCCCTCCCTCCCTCCCCCTCCCCCTCTCTCTCTCTCTCTAAACTCTAGAGCGAATGAAGTTTTATTTAATATTATTTTTATATATTAATGATGCAGACAATTAGTTCAATAATTAATTATCATTTCGAAACGGTATCGAAATTATGTCGCGTACAACATAGAGAGATATTTAAATAAAGAAACTCGTATATAATCGTTGATAATTAAAACTGTTGGGTAAAGATAGTTTTTTTATAAAGTTAATTCTTTCCGTAACACGAAATGGTAAAAATCTATACATAGTAATCCTGTGGACAGCCATAAATTATTGAAAAGACTTTAATCCAATGAATTTTAGGGAATACGACGGTTTTATTAATATCAAATAATCTGAAATATAAATTCTCTTGCAAATGGAATTTCATCATAATCTTTCAGCTACATATTGCTGCTGTCGGATTAAAAGCTTTAAATCAAATCAGTACAAAAGCATTATAATATGTTCTGACTAATTAATTCGCGATTGAATAACCACTTATCTGTGCAATGTGTAAAACGCGTTTAAATATTTGAAGCGTTTGACTTAGTTGAATATATGCAATTTGAAATAATAATTCACACGTTTTATAATTCATGTTGATGTAGATAATACACGGAGCTAAAAGAATTGTTCTTGCAAATAATTTATGAAATATATAAATATATACATAATTGATTTGCAAATATCAATTTAAATTTAACTCACATATTTTTAGAAATAAAATGATAAAAATTTAAAAAAATTTAAAAAAAAACGCAGCATCATATATTTTAAATTATTCCGAAAAATAAAAGTTTTAATTGCTTACTCTATATATATGTTATGTAAAAAAATAATTGTATTTTTATTCCGTTTTACATATAAAAATTACTTAAAATGCATAGTTTATATTAATTGAAAATAGAATTTTATTTATTAATTTACATGTTATATAATATGAAGTGTTCAAAGAATGAATTGGAAAACAATCTTTTAAGATATATTATTACGCAAGTTAATTATTCTTAAAATATCTTTTATATTAAAAATAATTTTGATAAAATATCGGCATATACATAGAATGATAAAATATCGGCGTATACATAGAATGAGATATTTATTTTGATATAAAAATTCAAGGTATATATTAAAAATATAAAAATTTATGCTGATACAGATTGTTATTTAGAAAGTCTATAAGATAGATATGTTTAGCCTTAGAAAAAGAGAAAATTGTAAAATAATTTAATTAAAAATTGAAAAATTTGTAAAATAAGACTTTGTTCTAAAATACATCTCTGAAATATTCAAAACTAAACAAAGTTTCGAGAAATCACAATGTCAGAAGCATTTTATTTTGAAATTGTGTGTGTGTGTGTGTGTGTGTGCATATAAATTTATTTTGTTTTATTACTTTTATAATAAAGAAAAAATATATATATAATAAATTATAAATTTATTGTAAATTATATTGAAGCGTCAGAAGCATTTTATTTTGAAATTGTGTGTGTGTGTGTGTGCATATAAATTTATTTTGTTTTATTACTTTTATAATAAAGAAAAAAAAATATATATAATGAATTATAAATTTATTGTAAATTATATTGAAGCGTTTATTAGAATAATTAAATTACTGTAGATAATTAAAAAATATCAATTTACGTGTATACGAAATAAGAAGAATGAATATTTTTATTCAATTTAAAAAATTATTAAATTGAATTTATATTCAATTTTTTATAGAATATTTATAGAATTGATTAATGTTACGCATGCAAGTGATCTAATCTTCCTTGCGTGCAATCTTGAAATATGACGTGAATTATATATTGTCTAAAGTTTAGATTTAACTTTAAAACACGCATATATAAAATAAATAATAAGAATGAATTGAATACTCTATTCTGAAATCTGATGCGAATTATATATCATCTAAAATGAGACTTTACGCTATCTGTTATCCGGTTACATGAAACGTTAAACTTGACATTAGCATGAATGTGCCATAAGATGTAGGTAACAATTACAGTGATTTATAACTTTAACGAGGACACATCGAGAGAGGGACGTACCGTAAAGATTATAAATCGCTATAATATAATCTAAAACAATTTCAGCAAATTAGTGAAGTTCGCGATGAAAATTAAATTCTGCACAGATGCATTTGAGCACTTAGCAAATACCACTACCATTATAATCCATTTTCTGCAGCTCATTGACGTGAAAATGTTCTAATCAAATGTATAGGTCATACATTTTATCACGTCTTACCTTTTTTTCTTGCAGCACTTTATTAAGTCTGATCGTCGAATTGTATAGTACATTGAGGCAGAGTCATATTTGTTTCATTGACACGATTATATATAATCGCGAAAATAACATTGATTGCAAAATTTACTGCGCTAACACGCGAGATGTATTCCTTGACTGCATATTGCCAAATTTATGTACCTATTCCCCGCGGCCGGACGATAAATTGCTCATGTGATCCGACGCAGTTTATCGATAAACGCGATTTTCGTCGATCGTCATTATCGTTCGTGATAACAAATGTCGACGCGAGCCGTGGAAGGCTCCTCTTTGTGCGATATAATTGCACGCGCTTACCTCCGTTATGCGCGACACGCCGGTTTCTCATTGAATTTCCGAACGTCGTCCACGCTCGATATTAGATATCACGTGTGCTGCATATGATATGCTTAAGAGAGCTTTTATATTTCATAAAAAGTAAGAATTAGCTATCTCAACTTAATTTTTTCTTGCCTGATGTACATGTCTTCTGAAGGACAACAAAACCGAACGCCAAGAAATAGGAAGGAATTTTTTCTGGGCACATTTTATGTATATATTTGATGTCATTAAGTGAGCGAATTTCATTAATTTGCCTTTGATGAAACTTATATACAATAAATAGATACTAATGGATTAGAAACGTTCTATTTTAGTAAAAAATTGTCAAATTAAATTATAAGATTATATTCGAACTCTTGTTTGCTCGTTTTATTGATCTTTATTCTCTTTCGTTTCTATTTTATTATTAAATACGAGCCAATACATAATTTTTGCCTTAGGTACTGGTGGAGATTAATGTGAACTGGGATGTCGCATAACTTCATTTAAAAGCGGCGGACCAGTAACAGGCGGGTCCTGAATTTCCCATCTCAATAAATAAATCCTCCAACGTAGTGGAGGTTGCAGGGCGTGACGTTAATATTTTCACTTCGTGAAAAAACCATCTAATGCTTGCGACGCGCGACGAAAAAAAGAAGATTCTAGAAAGAATTATTGGATAATTGAAAAGGCTAAAGATAAAAATTGAGTTGTAGGTCCTTATTTTTTTTTAATTTCAACTCACTTAAATATAGTTAAATAGATTGATACGCGGAAAAAAATTCTAAAGACAGTTTTTAATTTTGAGATTGATTGTGAGAAGTTTGTATCTTTGTGAAATTTTCTGTCAGTTCTTTTAAATCCAGCTCTTTGTAATTTAAATGTTGAGTTGAATGTGAAATGAATACACATGATGCTGCGACCAAGGCCAGAGATAATTGTCGCACTGATTCACTGAAAATCCGCGACCGGAACGGTCCATATGATATATTCAGCTCATATGACATATAACTCCGCGCGACCGCAGAGTGTAGAGGTGTTTCACATCGCCACATGTTGCAGTTTTGGACAGCTATTTCCATAATATAAAGTTAATATCTACTTACGAATTAAAACGATTCCGAGAGTATGCAATCGTGTTTCACGTAATTGAAACAAATACTCACAAATTTTCTGTGAAAAGAACATCCTTACCTTTTGCTCTTATTGCTATTTTTTATTGTAAATTATGAGCTTATCGCGAAATTTTTCTAATCTAGTTAACTTTTAAATTATCCTTCCTTTTTTTTATCAAAGAAAATTAATACATTCTAACTACGTATCTCGCTACCTTGCGCAGTATCGATTTTAATAATTTTGTTTTTTAATTATCGAGCTCCGCGATAACTTCAGTAATTATTTGCGATAAAGAATCTTATAGCCGCGCAGAATTTCTTTGGATATTGATTATTAAAATTAAGAGAGAGAAGATAACTCAATGGTGTTATTTAATTTATTGTAATTTATTATTATTTAAACGAGCGATATATATTTAATTTCCACTTGTTTTAATTTTTCCTGAACATTTTGGATATTCTTTTATAATTTCTATGTATAAATTAATTTTTTCGCGACTCGTTCAAACGTTTTCATATTAAAAATGCTCTTGTCGAAAAAAGAAGTCACTCTCGGTTAATTATTTACCTCAACGTGTCTACGATCATTGAAATCGGAGAACCGATGAAAAATGCGCAGGCATAATTGGACGAGCGTTTGCTTCAAACAAGTTTACTCGTCGATAGCCCACAAGTGTACTCGCAGTGAGCAAATAGCCCAGCCATAATTACACGTAGATCGCAAACTCGATACGTTTCACGCATCTATTCCAAGCTCTTCCTCAAACGATCCCTATACAGTTATGCAACATATTTTTTTACTCAGTCTATTTTTGAAAGGTTAACAAAAACAGCTGATTTCTCTGAAGAAAGAGCATGGGATAAAGATAGAGGGAGGAATAAATAAGTAAGCTCGAGATGTGAGAAAGGATTGAAGTATAAAGACAGAGCAGAATGAAAGGATTGCAGAAAAATAAGGAAAAGGAGAATTAAAGGAAGTTCGAAGGAGGATGTGAACGAGCAGGATTCAAAGGATTGAAGAAGGATTACAAAGTAAGTTAAAAAGTTAGAACGCCGAAATTTAGGGGAATGAAAGGGAAAATTGACAAAGAAAATCGAACGAAAAGAATAACGCAACGATGAAATAAGGATCGATGAAAAGAAGAGAAAATAGGAGATAGGATGAAGGAGAGTGGCGATGCAATTGCTTCATTAGTAAAAAAAGAATTGAGTAAGAAGGATCAAAGGAAGAGAATTACAGGGAAATTGCGAAAAGAGAATCGAAGTCGGAGGGGAACAAGAGGCAATTAACGACGGAGGATCAAAAAAAGATTAGAACAGAATTGCAATATTATTCTGTGTCCATCTAGTTACTCTAGTTTAATGTATGCAAATTTTTGGTTCATAATTCTCCCTCAAGGGCTCACATTTAAGTACGGACAAGTACGGGTTTGACAATCTCGAGGTACCTAAGCCGTTTAGATACTTAATTAAATCATATTCAGCTCACTTTAGATGATTTACAATTTGCCAGAATTCAGAACAGGACAGAAATTATATCTACAATACTGTTACAATTCTATTTATATATTATATTACTAGAATTCTATTTATAAAACCATAGGCTTTGCAAGTGCTTTTTATATTTCACAAAGCGCACACATAAAATTCAGAACAGAAATACAAATAATCGAAATTATTAAGAATCATTATTTTCAAATTAGTTATTTTCTTTTATACTCCACGCTATTGAGAACACTTATATCGGTTTTCCTTGAAAATTTTTAAAATCTTTTATTTACGGTGCTTATATCGGTGGTGGAGCACTCTCTCGATTGACTAAAAGTAGATAAGTTATTAACAAAGGAGATACTTACTCGGCGGATACTCGATGTAATTGACGGTGGTGTAAGCGGCGAAGGGTAGGGCGAAGATGAGGGCCAGTAGCCAGGCGCCTAAGATGAATCGTATAGGTCGTTTCAGTCCGCTCATCGCGTACAAGTGCAGGGGATGGCATATCGCTAGATACCTCTCCAACGAGAACACCACTATCGTTAACACCGACACGTAAGACGACCTTTAATTTAAAAAAAACGCACGAACTAATTTTGTTGTCGTGTTGTTACATCATTTCCTGCATGTTCACACGAAGTTAGTAACTTAAAAAAAACATGTTATTAACATGTGAGACTTTGCAATACATTCTATAATATATATCTTTTAGATTTTACACTTTCACACTTTTGTCTAAATTTTAAAAATTGGGCTATCCGGAAAGTTCTGCGATTTTCACGGAAATAGGTTCAAGAGCTCATGTACGGTACTTTTTGCAATTTTTAATTTCTGTGCCAGTTCTTGTACTGTATAACGAGAATTGAAGGGACGTCCAGATCGCGCCTCGTTTTTGAGTTGAGAGTGAAATTACCTTGTTGAAATTTCACAAACCACCTCCGAACTGTATTATCAGAAATAATACCTCCGTGAGGTTTTACAAATTTTACGCGCTGTCTTGCATGCGTTCTTGCTTTTTCTGAAATAGAAAAGCATATAATATTGCAAAAATGTTGATTCTAGCTTTAGGGTATTTTAGAATCGAATATACTGAACATATGCCATATGCCCAACTTGAAGTTTGGGCCTCCTCAGTATTATCACAAAATTGAAAATGCTATCGCGCAGATAAGACAAAAAAGACGCAGAACTTTTCGGATGACCCAATATTTTACAATCTTTTTATATTTATACTAAAAAACATTTCTTAAATTTTGAAACGTGTAATTAAAAAGACTTTAAACTAAAGCTTGTTTAAAACACAAATCGTAAAATATCTCAAAATTTTATTGATGTGTATTTATATAGAACTTTTTTCTAGTAAAAATATATCTGCACTGAGAAAATTTAACGAGCTTTCTCAAAGAAATGATTATTTCAAAACAAGTTTACGTTTTGTATGTATACAAAACATTGCCGCAAGATCTCATTATAGTTTCTATGCTTTTCTTTCATGCGTTTCTTGAGGTTATTGCATGAGACATCTCATACGCAACTTGAATGCAAAATAATCAAATGCGTTTCAGGTAATAAGCTTTAAGACTTTATATAGTATGCTAATTTATTCTACAGTTGTATATTTTAGCGTATGCATTTAGCATCCCCTCTATATTTCTAAGCTCAATTATTTGAAATTTCTATTCTAACTAAAAGAGTTAACAAAATTTGTCCATGCACTTACTGCTTAGTTTTATTATTTATTTATTCTTCTTTGTCATCTTGTGTAATAAAATATAAACTATCAGCTACGTTGCATTATAATTTAGAGTTCAATTTGCTTAAACTAATAAGTTTGCTTTTCCTTTTATTAACATTTTTTTTATATGTTTTTTATCGTCTGTACTTACATTTCTGAAACGTACGCTCGTATTTTGCACAAACCTACACCAAGTGTCCATGGATATTGCTGCCAAAACACGCTTAATTCGTTAGGCAGTCCTGGAAACAATGTAAATATTATCTTGTGTAGATCGATTATTTCATCATGCGTACAAGTCTGTAAACATAGATTGGAAAGAAAGGATTGACATTGAAAAGAGGGATTGCGTGGTGTATAATTTACGTCTATTATTCCTACGGCATTATTTTACGAGATGCTATTTAGAAACATTATTTTTACAACAAAGCTGCAAAAAGACTACGAAATAATTGGACAACGTTGCTTTATGTACTTTCCCCGGGGATCATTAATTATCTTCAATGATATACAAAGGACGTGAAATGTCCACAATTTCCAAATAGAAAAGTGCCGAGCAACGTGAAAGCAAAGCTTCAAAGTAATAGTAGATTCTTTGTTAATGACTAGCGCAGATAATTGTAAGTGAATCATAATGAGTACGCGTAAATGAAAAGACACAGGAGCAGAGCGAATCAGAGGTCCAATTGTCGTGATATAATTTATGCAGAGAGCCCCTCACGACCAATCGCTAATTATCGTACAAAGTGGAGAGCGTTAGAATTTGCGCTTCGGTGAATTTGTAAATCAATTTTCACTGTGAAATGTATGATTTTCTTGTAAATTTACATTCTTCGTATGAGAGAAACTTTCGAATCTTTCTTTCCAGAAGTTTTCATAATAATTCGTACAAGTGTTTTATAATAGATTTATGATTGAAAATCCCATGAAAGACATCAGAGATTCTTGCGCGTATATATATGTGTGTATTTGTGTATAATTTAAAGTCATGCAAATTTAATTTAGTGCGCATTATTTTTAATTACAATAAGATCTAATCGAAGAAAGTTGTATCCGATGGCAGGGAAAAACCTTGAGCTACATTTTTCCTTGCGTGATTCTGGTATTAATCGTGTTTACAAGCGATGCAGCAATTACCTGTCACCGCAAATTATTTCGCTACACGTTATTTGTGTCCGAGGACACTGCGTATGCAAATGCTTCTTACATTTTTTTTTACGCTCTCGCCAACCAGAGAACACATCTGATTCACACCGTTTATTATGTCGTTGCATACGAAATGTCGGATTTAAAATGAAAATGAATATTTTCCGTCACGTTTGCTTGTTATATATCGTGTTAAAATGTCATTCTCTTACATTTCGTAAAAAATGCTTTTTGTGAAATGTTTGCAACTTTTCAAGCCATATATAGTAAATAATATATTATTTTATAATTTTTCTGTTGAGTACGAATGTCACAGAATTAGTGTAAAATATAAATCGTGTAATTAAGAAAGAAAAGAGAGTAATGAAAATGAATATCGTTATATTCAGTGAAGGAGATAGATCTTTTAAAATTGGAAGATTTTATTTCATGGAAGATCGATTTACATAAAAAAAATATATAAGTTTATTAAAAAAGGAAAATCTTCTTTTCACAGTTTCTTCAGATAATCTTTCATTTATTCCAAATAAGACACAAGTAAATTTTAAAATACAAAAAAATGTATCGTGTATCTATTTGTAATAATCCCCCAAAAATAATAAAATTATGAAATAATATATTATTACTATAAAATATATTATTATTACTAATAAATTACGAAATAATATATTATTATTTACTATATGGCTTAAAATTCGCAAACATGTCGCAAAAAGCAACTATTTATTTCACCTCGTGTTCTGTTCCCTCGGAGAATGTTGTTGATATAAAATTACTATGCAACGATTTGATATAACATATTAATACGCACGTAATATATATGGAAAAATGCAAGCGACAGTCTGCCGCTTATTTGGCAAAGCTCGCCTTTGACAAAGAATAAATCTTTACGCTGACCGCACGAGAGAAGACAATGTAAACTAACGATATCATGAAGTAATATCTATTTAATATGCATCGCTTGACGCTGTTAGCTTCATTTCTTATTTCGTTTTGCGCGTTGATGTTGATGTTTCTGATCCCGAAAGATATATAAAACATGTTCATGAATCATGCAACAGATATCGTGATAACGATGTTTTATTTAACGACTTATCTCGATGCCTTGTATCAGATGTCGCTAAAACGCATTTGGTACCGTAAAATAACGACGCGATTCGGTAGTGTGAAAGCTTTAGGTTTCCGCGGCTGGCGTTAATATCGTGCCATTAAGGCTTTGATCAAATCCCAATACACCGATAGTATCTGTATTAATAAATTTTCGCACCGCGATGACTTTTCACGACTGACTTTTCACGACTGACTTTTCACGACTGACAGTGCTTATCCAGGATACCGTAAAAGATTCCTGTTTTATTAAACATATTTTTCTTAATATAGTTAGAGCGTATAAAGCAGATTTCACAATTTTAAAATACCATAAGATTCTGGAATTATATATGTATATTATTAGAAAGTTCTAATTTTAAAACTAGAAATTTTTAATTCAGTAATATTACTAAAACTATTCTTTTTTAATTTCAATGTTTCAAACTATTTTGAGCCTTCTGCACATTTCAGTAGATTTACTTTCGCATCGCTCACTTTGTTTTTCACTAAAGATTCGCGATATATATGCTTTAGCCAGAGATTCTATTAAATTTATCGCTGTCGAGAAATAAAAAACAACGTGCTGACAAGAAAAAACGTAATAAAGCTTGATGCTTATTGTTTGCATGGATCGTTTACGGAGGTGTTAGTTTTATCGGAGATTTTTTCGTTCAATTGCTCGGGATATTCGCGCGCGCAATCGAACCCCCGATGCAAGAACGCTGTAAATCGTAATTAATCGAAGGCCCGGCGGAGTTGCATTAGCCGCATTGCGCGGAGTCGTCCATTTCATCCGACTTCGGAGATCACAAGATCCATTAACTCGCGGTTAATGTCGAGTACGTGACGAATCCTCAAATCACGCGATAGAACGTGTCCCCGCATAGACATTGGCTTTCACTAGGCTCAATGATGGGCCCTTATTAGTTCGTCATTAACGATCGGCTATCGGATGATTCGTATTTGAGAAGTTCACAATTGAGAGTTCGAGGCTCAATCGTATAATAATAATATGGACACACAACGTAACTTTTTACGTAAATCTGAAACTTTCTATATGAATTCGAAAATTCTTTGCAGAGCTTCGTAAATCTGATAAGAATTCGTGGCTTATCAGTTTCTTTTTATTACATTCTTTTCGTTGCTCTGAAGAAATTTTGAGAAAGAATTGAAGATTAAAAAGAAACTAGATTTATTATTGCATGCTTGTACGTTTCCGCACGCTCAAGACAAGTTATCTCCCTTTTCCATCGTTTAATTAAATTTTCAATTAATTTCTTCAATCCTAAGTATTCTCTCGTATTACGTAAGGCGTAACCTAATGTTGTAGTAATCGGAGAAATCCGTCGTGCGCAATTGATGTTTCCGTCGTAAAATTGAAGTTTCTTTTTTCTCACGGGAGAGTAGCTTATTAGATACGAACTTCTCGTATTTTCTCGGCAATCTGATATGTGGTCGACGAAGGAGGATACGAAATATATAGGGCGTGATATATATCCGACCCTTCGAGAGAGACCCTTATGATCCTTTTAGCCGGCGATATCGAAACGCAAAATTGTTTGACTGGTTTTTAAATTATGAGCTCCCGAAGATAAAGTGATTCCCACGAACTTAAGTTTCGGTAAATCAACCAGGAAGTATTACTCCTACGGGGAAAACCGGTACGCGCGGGTAATCCGAGACGTCACTGTATATATCAGAGTGAATCTGCCGAATGTCACGCCACGCGAGGTGAAGCGGGTGTTACCGTGGATATTCGGAACGCGCGTACGTGTTCATACAAACGGGATTTCTCGTATTTCTATGAGAAACGAGACTTTTCTAGGACGTCGTTTTTCATTCTTTTTCTCGCTGCGAGGACGACTTCCGCCGTGGCACTTTCTTCTAGTTTCCCCACTGGCGCGCTATTGAGCCACGTATATTAAGCACGATCGGATTTTAATCCCCGCGATAGCGAAGCTCATCTGTTATCGCACTGACCGCAATCGCCGGAGAATCATTAGAAAAGTTTCGCTACTTCGCTTATCAAGCATATGGTGAGAATTGTAAATCGTATTCTCGCGCAGTAGTCAATAAAAGTTTCAATTATCTTGTTACCTGCGTACGAATCTTTTTGAAGAAAAAAGAGACGAATTAAGAAATATCTGGAATTTTATCCAAAATAATATGTTGTTACGACTTGCGAGGAGATGTTAAATAAGGAGATTGATCTTTTCTGTTCGATTTTTACTGGATCTTGCGGACATCTTTATCGCGCGAAAATTCATGATGTTCACCCACGATTCCATTAATCTCATATTTGAGAGGTCCATGAAATACGAAGGCAACTGCATATCAAATGAGGTCGAACAAATGCCAGATATGCCGGTTGCATTAAGGGCGAAGGGTGTTTGAAACTTCGTGCAGCTGCTATCTATCGGGAGAGAATGGGGAAAGACAGGGGGAAAAACGAGGAATGCGATGGATTATTCGAACTCAATATCGGCGTTACGTGACTTTAATTGTAAAATACTAGATTATTTGTATTTCTTATTCGCGAGCTTTTATCATATTTTATCGCTGATGGACGTTACACCGTTGTTAATTACGCAAAAATATCGACATTGATTCATTGTATTATATACAGTTAGAAAAAGAATCGTTTGCCAATATATATAGGACGAAAAGTTACGGAAGTCGACAATAATGTTATTCATTGCACTGGAATATTCATTGAGCCTACGTGTTCGTTTATCTTCATCTCGGTTAATTGGTCTTCTAAATCTGACGGAGTCTCCACCCCTTGTTTCTCTGTATAAAAGGATATTGCAAACTCGGAATTTATAAAATAAAATCTCTCTGGAAGAAAATCGTTTTTTTAACGGTACGTTTCAAAAATTGCATTTACGAGGATAGGAAATGAAACCAATGACCGACCAATATTGTCGTGTATATCCACATAAAATAAAATAATTTCCACACAATATCCGGATGCTTGATCGTTAATCACTTTTGTAAACCCGACAGATATAGGATTCCCATTTGTTGTTTGGCAGTATTATATGTCCGAATTTATGAGTAGTAAAGTATCGGATTATATGGCAAAGGCAACAAAATGTACTGTCAACTATATTACAGAAGGGTCAGAAATTCGATAATGGCAAATAATTTGATGCTATTATTTCTACGCATTTATTTTGTATTAAGTTACAACTGTTCCGTCAGGGGATATTTATAAAGTTGACAGATGTGAAGTTTTCATTTTTCTCATTCCAAATATCAACACGGTATAGGCGTTTAGTTCAGAAGTCAGAAAAATGAATAGAAATAAAATACAAAGTGTTCTTTTTCACACGGCATTAAAGCGGGGAATATCTTCGTATTTGCATTTATCAATAATTGTGGGGATGAAAACAGTATTTTCTCTAATGAATATTTACTTTAAATTAATGATGGATTATCATTATTTATTCATCGAGAGGCGATACCGTATAAATCAATATTCGGACTGTTCATTAATCACTGACAGATGCTGCTCGTAATTTTGACAGATGAACTGTTTAAGATAGCGCGCGTCACGGGGAAATATCAAAGGGAAACGAAGATAATCCTGAGAGTTTGCGGGCGTGATTTATTCATCGCGCGAGAGAAGAGCTGGCGTGCGGTTTAGCCGACGTCTGAGATTGTCCGCTAAAAGTGTCGTGTGCCATTTTCCCTTTAATACACGCGAGGGAAATGTTTCCTATTCGCGAAAGATTTCTGCGGAGAAACCGATAATAAAGAAATACGATTATCGTCGGTCTAATGGTGAGACGTCGCGGTCGGTCACTCGACGAGTTCCTGCAGTTCACCACGTTCATCGTTGGTATGCGAATGATGGATAGCTCACTCGCTCGAGGAAAGCGTATTGAATTCGGAAAATATATGCTAGAGGGGAACTTAACGATATAAGGATAACACAATAAATCAATATATCACGTTTAATGGTATTTTTAAAAATATTATCAAATTGTTTAAAACTTGGATTATACTCGAAATTGATGTATTCTATTAATCGATGCGAAAGTGTTGAGTATAAAAAGTAACGCGTTAAATTTTTACGCTGATTCGCGACACCACGACGAAAATATCGAAATTAATCCTTGGCACGTAACTCTCAATCGTATATAATTATTATGAAGACCAATATATCGCGTTTGAACTTTTAAAAGTTCAAACGTTTAAAAGTTTCATAACATTTTTTAAAACGCGGATTATATTCGATTTGAATTAGTGTATTCTATTAATCTGCGCAAAAAGTATGGACTATGGAGGACAAAAACCGGGGCGCGCTTAATAAGTTTTTACTTTGATTCACGATACGACGACGAAAATATCGAAATTAATCCTTGGCACGTAACCCTCAATCGTATAATTAACACGTAATGAATAGGACGCGATACTGTGTATACCTTCATTATCGCATACATGGCGAGATTCATTATGATGATTATCGCCCTCGCGAAGAGACAATACAATAGTTAGGTTACAGTAACTTTGTTTCAGAGCGGCGGCGACATATGTGCCTATTCTTTAGCCGCCCAAGGTGCGGGGTTTTGGCCGCGACAGCGTTCAATGGCTGATTAAATTAATCGTCGCCCGGCTAAAGTGAACTCATTACGCGTACAATGAGTCTCGATTAATGCGACGGCTGCAAATAAAAGGCGGACGATTTTAAATTTCAATCGCCGGGTCGCAATGAAGTGACGCGGTTTCACAAAGTAAAACCGTATTATTGTCATTAAACAATTCACGTAACGTGCGTATGCGCGCTGTTTTTCTCCTGCACTTTGTCAGCCGTTTTATCCGGGCCGGAGCCCGGCGTAAACACTTAATGCGATTATTGCTAATTGGATGGGCAAGTAATTATTACGGCCTGGCGTGAAGCTTATGGCCAACTAATTGGAAATGCCAACGGAATGCGCTTAATAAAACGTAAAGCCGAATTACGAACGCCACGCGAACTCCTGGTGGCAACGCCGTGCCGGGCGGCGGCGGAGAGCAGAGAGAGGCGATAGGAAAAGTCGGATAGGAAAACTTTAAAGTCGAGACTGGCGCATAACTGCGCCATCGGATCGAAATACCAAACGACTCACACTTCCGTAGATATTATTCTACGTTGCGCGCACGGGTGTCAAGTAGAACGAGACGAGATAAATCAGACGGCGGCGCGAAGTGGTGATCTTTTGACGAATCAAGCGCGCTGAATAACGTAAGATAGATCTATGCCGCCAGCACAGAGAGAATTTTCAAGCAAGAAGAAAATTTCTGTAATCCGAGGAAATATCTTGCACTGATTCAACTGATTACAAGTCGCGCTAGATTTCAGAGAAGAAAGCGATTTTCCGAGTGAGCGAGTTATACTAATTTACGCATTGTAAGCGGCAGTAAATTTCAGAGTCGCAAGAATTTTGCATTATAAATAAATAAAAACGTTGTATTCTACATAATTCAATAATCCATAGTCATAATAAACAGATAACTTGCATTATTTTGTTGATTTTAATAATTAATAATCCATAATTATAATAAACAAATAATTTGCATTATTTTGACGATTTTAAATGAAAGAGGAATTTTGAACATTCTATAATTTATGCATGTAAATAGCTTGTATTAATTAATTCATATTATGCAACTTGATACAATTTATTGCGGAAATTAAGTCAAGGAACATAAAAGTATTATAGGAATAATGTGTAAGAAACATTTTAATAACTCAGTAAATATATATATACTTATTTGCTAAATCTTTAAGCGACATTCATGCTTTATTAGCATAATTAATATTTTACAATTTTCAAATACTTTAACGTTTTACACACATTGCAGAATACATTTAAAAATTGTAA